TATCCCCCTCCCCAAATAACCATATAAATAATCAAGCAATATAAACTGAGAGAATTGGGTCTCTAAGAAACAGTTTATAAAGTCTGTCAGTTCATTAATGACTGTCCAGATTCATTCCCTGAAACACAAACTCCAGTTCTTCCCGAATAATGAGCTGTTGTCACGGTTCCAGTCCCAGAGTTGGCAGAATTCCTGCTAACCTTAGCTTACCCGCTCTCATTTCTCATTTATATCATGTCCTATTTATTTCAGCCAACAAGATAAAAATTACTTCCTAGCCCTCAGTGACATGGCTCCATAAATCCCCAACATAAACAAGTGGCAAAGCAGACAAACCAAAAGAGCCAATTCATTAACATTAGTGAATTCATGGCAGCCTGAGTGTAAGTGGCCAAGTTATTAGTCTGCTTTAGAAAGTCATTCCACAAATGTTTATGGAGTGTCTTTTTGCCAGGCTGAGTGTGAGAGATACAGCTCATGCCCTGCGGGCTCTGGCAGGAGTCTCTAATTTATGGATCTCCTCCTACTTTTCCATGGAAATTGAACCCCATAACCAGACAGGGAGCAGAGTCTCAGTCCCCCTTCCTTGAGATACCTTTCACCTCAGGTTATCTGCCCTGAGTTTCTACTTTTTTACAGTGGTAAATAAAATCTCTTTTAAAGGCTTAGTTGCCATTTAAAATATTTAGCAGATTTCAACATGGATTTGTGGTTTCTCCTTCAGTGTTGTTAACTTTGCACCTGATGTGTGTATGTGTGTATTTTTAATTATGTCTAGTTTCTATGCTGCTATGTGACTCACTCCTGCCTCATCATTAGCGTTGCACCTAAATAAGAAGATGGATAACTGGCATTCATATAAGCACCTTGTGATCTTCTTTCTTTCTTTCTTTCTTTTTTTGATAGGGAGTCTCACTCTGTCACCCAGGCTGGAGTGCAGTGGCACAGTCTCGGCTTACAGCAACCTCTGCTTCCCAGGTTCAAGTGATTCTCCTGCCTCAGCCTCCTGGGTAGCTGGGATTACAGGAGTCCGCCACCATGACCGGCTGATTTTTGTATTTTTAGTAGAGACAGGGTTTTGCCATGTTGGCCAGGCTGCTCTTGAACTCCTGACCTTAGGTGATCCACCCACCTTGGCCTCCCAAAGTGCTGCGATTACAGGCGTGAGCCACCCCACCCAGCCAATGGCCTTATTTCTTAATCTAGTTATGCCTTTCCTAAATTGGACAGTATCTATGCTAATCATTTTCTACAGAATTGAAGCCTTTAAGGGAGTCTTGGTTTGTAGTCTTAAGTATTCCTCTCTTCCACTAACTCTTTTAAAAGTCTTTTCACATTAAATTTGCTGTCCCCAGTCCATTTCCCTTTTATCTGAAGTGCCATGGAGTCAGGCAACTGTAAATGCATGCGTGGAGATTCTAGTGCTGTTTTATATACCTGGACCTGTGTATATTTACTCCCTCCATCATGCTCCTCTCCCCCCATGAAAATATGAATCTTTTTTCTAATCCTTACACAAAGCAACATTCTGCTCCTTCTTATGGTATTTTAGACCCCTATTGTGTCCTTAAAGTCCCTGGTACTCTTAAGTAATCTCACCAAGTATAGGCATTATAAGCCAAAAACTGTTTTCCTCTTTCCTTAGTTCCTTGTGAACCTAGTTAGTGTGGTGATTCTTTCCAAGGTTCTCTAGGTTTCTTTTATTCCTGCTGTTCAGTGTGTATGCATGTGAAGTGTATAGGCAACGCATCATGGCATTAGAATTTTCTCATCCACCTGTTCACCTCAGTCCCCTTAGAAGATTAGCGATTATCATGGACTCAGACTGAGAGACAGGTATTAGGGGTTTGCTGGGCTCCTTAGCAAAGAGAGGAACATTACTGATTGAGGAACACATGTCACATGCAGGTGGATTGGAATATGTTTGTATTATTTTATTTTATGTTTTAAAACAGGATCTTACTTCGTTCTCCAGGTTGGAGTGAAGTGGCACAGTCACGGCTCACTGCAGTCTCAACCTTCAGGGCTCAGGTGATCTTCCCACCTCAGCCTCCTGAACAGATGGGACCACCAGCCCTTGCCACCATGCTGGCTAATTTTTGTAGTTTTTGTAGAGAGAGGTTTTGCCATGTTGCCCAGGCTGGCCTTGAACTCCTGAGCTTAGGGCAGTCTGCTTGCCTCAGCCACCCGAAGTGCTGGGATTACAGGCATGAGCCACCATGCCCAACTGGAAATGTGTTTTGAGACTGACTCAGAGAAATATGTCCCTATCCATGTTTCTTCGTTTGAACTATACTAACAAAAACACTATATGTTGGTGGCTTAGACAACAAACACTTATTTCTCACAACCCTGGAGGCTGGTAGTCTGAGATCAGGGTGTCATCGTGGTTGGGTTGTTGGTGAAGGTCCTATTACTGCTTCACAGCCAGCCATCTTCTCATATCCTCACCTGGTGGATAAAAGAGAGAGGAAGCAAGCTCTTTCATATTCCTTCTTATAAGGTCTCTAATCCCATTTATGAGGGCTTTACCTTCATGACCTAATTACCTCCAAAGGCCCCACCTCCTAATATCATTATACTGGGGGTTAAGATTTTAATATATGGCTGGGTGCCGTGGCTCACACCGTAATCCCAGCACCTTGGGAGGCTGAGATGGGAGGGTCATTTGATCCCAGGAGTTGGAGAACAGCCTGGGCAACATAATTAGACCCTGTCTCTACAAAAATATTTTAAAAGTAGCCAGGTATGGTGGGGTTCCAGCTACGCGGGATGCTGAGATGGGAGGATCGCCTGAGCCCAGGAGGTTGAGGCTGTGATGAGCCGTGATTGCATCACTGAACTCCAGCCTGCGTGACAGAGACCCTGAATCAAAAAGAAAGAAAAAAAAGGATTTTAATATATGAAATTTGGGGGACACAAACATTGAGTCCATAACACTATGCAAGTTTGCTTATTAATGATGACTTTTGTGTTTAAGGCGGTTGCTTTGTAATGAGGCATAAAAAAATGTCACTGCTGTGAATTAGTAGATAGAACATATCGTAATGTGGGTTGATGTATTTTGTGACTTTGTCATTTCTTGGACAATTATTATATATTTTTTAGAAGCACAGTGTCTTTAGAACTTTGATTGAGAGAACTTTATTTTCCGAGTGTTATCTACAAAGATTCCTTTAGGAACCATTGTGATCTATCATTATTAGCCTATATGCTTCTTGAGCGCCTAGAGCTTGTGGCATTTTTTTCCCTAATGGTGCTGACATGGGACCACTCAGTGCCTGGCACATATGGTGAAAAACATGCTCCCATCTCAGAGTCAACTCCAGAGCTCTCAATGAGCTGTAAAGCTTTGTAAGATCTGACTTCCCTGCTGCCTCTCTCACATTCTTCTCACTTCACATCATCCACAGTGGCTTCTTAGCAGTTTCTGGGCACAACAGTTCCACTCCACCTTAGGGCATTTGCTCTTTCTTCTCCTCTTCCAGACTGCTGCATGGTAGCCTCCCTTGCTCCTTTCAAGTTTTGCCTACATGAAACCTCTCAGAAGATTCCTTTCCTAACCATCCTTTTAGATACAACTCTAGTTCCTTGCCCTGTTTGATTCTTCTTTGTAGCACTCATCTCAACCCGATCTTTTATGTAGCTCTTTTTTATTGTCTCTTTCTACTGCAGTGTAAGCTTCAGGAAGGCAAGGCTTTGACTGTTTTCATCATTCCTGTGTTCTCAGGGCCTAGAACAGTGGCTGTTACGTAAAAGTCACTCAATAAATATTTGTTGAATGAATGAGTATTTGGATGAATGAGTGAATGCATGCCTACATATATAGTGGCCGTAGAACAACAATGTGGTCTAGTTCCAGGGTAACATCTCAGTTGGAGGAACACAGCTCACATAGAGATGTTGATACCTACTCTCTTTTCTCTCAGACGTGCAGTCTTGTTTAAGCTCTTAGCCCACAGCAATTCGCATTAAAATTGTTTAGTGCCTCAGACTCGAACTGGGTGCCACTAATTCCTCTGACCAAGGAGGACACTGTCTTTTGTGCCATCCCTTTGCTGCCATCTTGTGTTCTTGGTCCCTTTCTTTTTCCCTGAAGTGTTTGGTCCTGTACTACTGTTAATAGCATATCATGACCTGGGAGAGGGTAACAGTTGTCCTCTTCAGGGCTCTTGTCCTTTGTTTGGGTGGGAGTAGGCAAAGAAAAGAGGTATCAAATGGTTGCCCATGTTGGTCCAGAAGTTAAGTCCAAAGAGAAGGCAGAAGCCTCTGACCCCACATTAATGCCCAAATGAAGTGGATGTCTTTGGTTCATTAAGTACTAGATTAATTGGCTTTTTCCAAGGTACTTGAATGATGCCCTTTGTTATTTTTATCCCCTGTACTTGGTGCTATATGCTTCTGTAGGCCTCAGAACACTTGGTATTTTTTCCATGTACTAACCCCATAATGATCTTCCATGATATTAGCACAGGCTCTGTTCATCATGGCAGGTGCAGCACATTAGCACCAAAAAATTAGACCATAATGCAACAATAGCTTATTGAAGACATTCATAAATATCTCACAAAAGCTTAGAATTTCCTTAAGATGGTAACATCACTTCTAAAGAGCTTTCATCTGTTACCTCAGAAAGAATGATAAAATATTTAAGACATAACATGGTTCTGTATATTATAAACTATGGTTCTTTATATTAGGTGGTTTTAAATTTATTTAGATAGGCACCTTTTTTATATTCATACCTCACAAATGGAGCCTTTTATCATTTATAATGTTGTTGTTGCCAATTTAGTAAATGAGATGCTTTATGAGCACAGTTCATCAATGAAACAAATGGCTTTCATATTATTTGGCACCTGGTTAAACAGTGTAAATTTTACATTACCTTTTTGTACGTGCTCTTTTTCTTCCGTTGTCTTGTTTTTTCCTTATTCAGTTGTTGATTTGCTGTAAGTTGAGTAGCCTTATTTTTCCCCTTCTCTCCACTCCCGCCCAAGATGGAGGAAAGGAAGTGCTGTCCATGCACCAGATTCTCCTGTACTTGTTAAGGTGCAGCAAAGCCCTGGTGCCCGAGGAGGAGATTGCCAATATGCTTCAATGGGAGGAGCTGGAGTGGCAGAAATATGCAGAAGAATGCAAAGGCATGATTGTTACCAACCCTGGGACGGTATGTTCTGGTGTCTGTATATTCAGAGGCTGGAGTACCTTCTTTTCCAGATCTGAATGTTTCATGAAAACAGTAACGGCACATTTTAAAAGTTTTAGGTACTCACTGCCTCTTGTCCTTGGATAATTTTTTCTATAAACATAAATAAGAAAATATTACTAAATTAAGTGAATTACTAAATTTTTTATAATTCTACTGTATTATAAGCTTCAGAAAGGCAAGGCTTTGGCTGTTTCCATCATTGCTGTCTTCTCAGGTCCTAGAACAGTGGCTGTTACATAAAAGGCACTCGATAAATATTTGTTGCATGAATGAATATTTGGATGAATGAGTGAATGCATGCCTATGTATATAGTGGCCATAGAACAGTAATGTGGTTATTATAAATTATAATAAAAATTTATGAAAATTTTATTATAAATTAATAAAAAATTATAAAATTTTTTATAATTACTAAATTCACCTAATTTAGTAAATTTATTCTACCTGAAGATAGGTACATTTTTAAGGCTTTTGATGCATGTTGCAGATTGCTTTCCAGAAGGGCTGTAAAATTTGTATTCTGGGAGCGTATGAGAGCAACCATATCTTCATGCTGGTTATACTAAGGGAATTTGATGGGGGTGGGGTGGGGCGGGAAACTACTTAGTTCAGTTTTGTGTTTATTTTGATTTCTAAATGTTTATTGCCCATTCATGTTTTCTTTTGATACTTGCCTATTAATATCCTTTGTCTGAACCTTTTTGTAGTATTCTTTTTTATTGATCCTTCACCATAATTATTATAAATATTTTGCATTTCTTTGGGTGCTAATTAAGTTTTTTGTTTTAAAATTAGCTTTTAATGTTCAACTTTAGAAGTAAAAAATGTAAATATTAAAAGGAGATAATGAAAAGAAAACTAGTTTTTATATAAAGACATAACATTTTCTTTATATAAGACAATTTTTTTCCTTCTAAAATAGTGTTACTGTTTCATAAAATAGTTACATATTGGCATAAGGATAAAATTTTATAGAAATGGAGAATTAAAATTTTCCATGAAAATAAATGGAATAATCTATTTAACAAAGCTGTTGTTTTCTAAAAAGCTGCCAATTGCTTAATAGCTTTGATTCATAAACTAAAAACTCTGGATCAACTTTTTGTAGCATGACAGTAACATCTGCACAAACAAAATGTTGCTATTTGCAAATAAAACATTCTGGCTAGTATGGATTCTTTTAAACAAATCCAGAAAGTAAAGTTGTTTAATAAAAATATGTTTAAACATAAAACTTGTTTAAAACCAAAAATTCATATAATTTTTACTGTTATACTGTTAAGCCACATAATTATTAACTTTAAAAGAAATATGGAAGTAATAACATTCTCAGAGTAAGACTGTGAATTCTATTTTTATTCTTAAAACAGTTGTATATATTGATATTCCCTCTGTCATTTTTCATGCTGAGTCAGAGGATGGGGTGATGGTGGTGGGAGATGTCCAGTTTCAGCTGGGTGGTTCCACTTAGAGAGTTCCATGTTCTGTGGTAGACACTGTGGGAGCACGTTCACCCTGGGCTTCCTTCCATGGTATAGTTACGTTTTCCTGAAATCTAGAATCAGCTGGAGAGTTTAAAAAAAAACTTAAGGGTACCCTGGCTTAAGGATATACCTACCCTATATACTCCAGGCAGTGAGGCCTAGTTTTCTGTAGTTAAAAAAAAATCCTCAGTTTGATTTTCTCATTGCTTGTTTTTGAGCCAGTGACCTACATGAAGTTTATGATCACCATGATCATCATTCAACTAATTTGTTGAGGGACTATTATATGAGCCAGGTGCTAGGGACGTTATATATTAGGTTGTTATATACCTAAGGTATATATACCTGAAGGTATATTACAAGTAATGGGAGAAACCGCAACTACTTTTGCACCAAACTAATGTATGATGCTTGCCCAGGTGAAAACCCAAAGACCACTAACATATGAAGGGAGTCTTTGATGAGTGGTTGAGCCTATGGACCCATCAGGAAAGACTCTCATTTTAGGAGAAATCACTGGGATAGGCTTGCCGGGGGTGCTTCCTAAACAGTAAGATCTCTGAGGAATTGAGAAATTGTAGAAATTATTGGCATGATTAACCGTTAATACTTGAAATGCTGTAAAGCCAGTATTAAAAACATGAAGTCAGACCTAGTCAGTATGAAAGATTTATATTGGAAGTTTTGGTGTCAGGCTTAGGAATGTGTTGAAGTTAATTATTTTATAGTATTTATCTAAAGATATGCTTAAAGGAGGAAAAAAAAATCTGAGAACTCAGTATTATGAAAATATCCTACTGAGAAGTGTGCAAGTTACTTATACGACAAGGGAGACACCACACTACATTTCATCCTCTGTAGGACTTGCTTTGAAAGATTGCTTAATGGCAAGAATATTGGGAAATTTATTAAATTTTTCAAGCCATTATGGTCGCATTAAATACTTTATTGCTGCAGAACTTAAAAGAATTAATCTTCCAAGGAATACTTTTGTCATTAGTGAGAATGTTTTTTATTCTTACACAAAGATGGTATAATAAATGTTATAGGGTATGGCCAAAGTCTAGAATATATTTCATTTCCTGCTCCCCCAACCCCTGCCATAAATTTAGAGATACTATACATATTTTAAATCACTGTTTCCTCTGTTGGTACCATGGCATGGTGTTTAAAATCACGGAAACATGAATAATTCAATAGCATTCTATTCCACAGTTCCCCTTCTAAAAATGTATCCTGCTGTTTTGTACAAAATAATGAAAGCAATTCTTTGACCTAGCACATTGCTACTGTTGATGGGCATTTAATTAATTTTATATTAGGTTACATGTGAATAAAATATTTTCGATTTTCAAATTTTGAGAGCAGAGACTAACTTTCAAGAAGCTAGTGAAATTTTGACTATTAAATGACACTTAAAAAGTTTGAGGTGTTTTTTTTTTTTTTTTGAGACAGAGTCTCACTCTGTTGCCCAGGCTGGAGTGCAGTGGCGCAATCACAGCTCACCACAACCTCAACCTCTGCCTCCTGGGTTCAAGTGCTTCTCCTGCCTCAGCCTCCTGAGTAGCTGGGACTACAGGTGTGCGCCACTATGCCCGACTAATTTTTGTATTTTTAGTAGAGACAGGGTTTCACTGTGTTGGCCAGGCTGGTCTTGAACTCCTGACCTCATGATCCACCTGCCTTGGCCTCCCAAAGGTTTGAGTGTTTTAAGTAATGTGGAAGAATTCACCCAAGTTTATCCCCTTTGTCACCTCGTTGAATATTTGTCAGATGGCTGGCTGGTGTCACAGTTGCAGGTAGAGTGACCAGCTTGTCCCAGTTGCTGAGAGATTTCCTGATTTTAGCATTGAAATTCCTCTGTCCCAGAGAAACCAGGCAGCCACCCAGACTCTAGTTGTTGGGCATTGTTGTGGGACAGAATGAAGATTATTGGCCTCTGTGTGAATCAGTTTTACGGCCTCAGCCTCCAAAGCAACTGAGCCACAGACTCTACAGTGTGCTAGTAAAAATTGAGTCTCTAATTGAGACTGTCCTGAGAGATGATTATAAGGAGGTTGCTGAAACCTATTCTCTGTGATTTTACCATCTTTTCATAAATTTAAGCTTTCAAGATGAAAGCCATTTCACAAATGATCCAGAAGGAATGAGCCATTCACTTCTTCCTTTATTAGACATGAAGAAAAAAATATGAGGCTCTCTGTTAAAATACACAAATGTCCTACATGGACATAATAAGAGAAGCTTAACTATTTGGCCTTTGCACCACTGTACTATCTAACTTAAAGATGTAGAATTAAAGGAATACATAAGATCCACTGAGAAAAAGTGGGGGGAAAAACTTAAATAGAGGCATCTGTCTATGCATCCTGAAATGTGAAATTAAAGCAGAACAGGCTCTGCCTGTGATGTGGAATCCTTCCCCTGTGCCTTCGGAGAGGTTAAGGAAAAGTTATATCTGACTAGGTGTCCTTTTAAAAGTTTAATTTTTAAAGGTTTCTATGTGGACTGCAAAAAAGGACAAAATCATTGTTCATTATGCCAAATGGCATAGGCTCATTTACAGGGATGACATTATAGTTTTTAGATAGTAGAGCTGCTGTAATTAAAGGGTTTTAAATGACCTTTTCCCTTTGGGGACAAGGCTTTCCTAGAAAAAAGTCCGATTTATTCCTTCCCTACTTAGGTTAAAGTCAATACGTAAAGACTTCTTATGGGAATAAATGGCTTTGATTTTTCTCTCTAGAAACCAAGCTCTGTCCGTATTGATCAACTGGATCGTGAACAGTTCAACCCTGATGTGATTACTTTTCCGATTATCGTCCACTTTGGGATACGCCCTGCACAGTTGAGTTATGCAGGAGACCCACAGTAAGATATTTCTCAGTGTTTGTCTTAGCCAATTTCACCTTCTACTAACAGCTGAATTAGCAGAGAAATACCCTTTAGTGGATGTTTCCTTTTCAAAAATTAAGACCTGAAATGAGCCATGCTTCCAGTTTAGATTACCCAAATGAAACAATTTTGGTAGCTCCTGAAGAATTATTTTCTCTACATATTTGAGTGCAAGAAACTATTATTCAACAGAATATTTTTGGCAAACTTGATCAACATAAGTCCTTGTATGTTTTTAAACTTTAAGGAACTTTTTCTTTATTCATCCTTATAATAATAATAATAATTATTTTTTATTTTTTCAGTGCCCTCTAGAGGAAAGTAGCACATATTGGTTCCTAGCACTGCCGAATTTATGCAGAGTTCTCTTTTTGGGGGCATCTTAAGAGTTCAAGATCACATGCAAAGTCAAGGTTGTGTTGGAAGTAGGAGCCGTGACTTCTGACTCTTAGAATTGATGTAACTTTCCACATTTTGATTTTTCCAACTGGCATGTTAGTGTTGTCTGGGAGAAGATTCAGGATGTGTGGGAATGGAGATATTACCATTAGATTCTTTGGGACTGTTTGGATTTCCTACCTTGCTAAATACACAAACAGCTTCCTGACTTAATTTTTTTTTTTTAAAAAGGATTCATAGTGGGAGAAAAGGGCATGGGAGATTTTCAATTCATAAATACAGTTCTGGCTGACATATATTAGAAGAGGCTAAAGGGTTTTGTTCTTTTTTTTCCCCCTTTGGATAAAAGTATGAAGCAGTGAACCAGGCACTGTGTAAGTACTTCTTTCTTTCCTCCATTCTTTAAAAAAAAAAAAAAAAAAAAAAAAAGTTTTCAAAAAAGGAGAGGCCCAGCTAATGCCAAGAAAGGAGCAGTTTTAATACGACAGAAAATCTTTGGAAAATCCCTTCTTGTTAGAAAAATGTTAGTAGAATGTGATGAGGCTCTCGTGGACTCTCAGATGGCAGGATTGTGAATTGATAAAGGACTGCATATTTGCTTCATTTCCAGGACGCTTTGACAGTATCCTTTACACTGGTCTAGGTTATAACTTATTTGGCTACAACAAATATGCTTACATTGTCATGGTAAATACAAATTGGTATACACCATTAGTCTTTTACCCTCTCCAGTAGAAAAATGGATATAGCTATGTAGCTTGGGTTTTGGCACAAATGGAGTTCTCTATTCTAATACTCTTCAACTCTTATATTTGGTATAAGTAGTTCAGCAACTGACAGGCTCCCTATTAAAGAAGGGGTCTGTCAATAAATATCAGAAAGTATGTATTTAAATAAAATCTGTTATTTTCAAGAGGTAACAGTGAGAAACAGGATGATTCCATTGGTTGAGGTGTTTTTGTGTCTTTGGAATTCTTTCCAGAGATTCATTCATATAGTCACACCTCATTTCCAACCAAAATAAGCAATAATCAACTTAATCACCAGGTTCCAGTTGACTTTTGTCCATCCCGACTCTCAACCTCAAAGTCATAACCTTCCTTAGAATGACGGCTTTCTGCCATTAAGAATAATCAAAAGAATGTAATGTATGATTTGAAGAGGCCTCTTAAAATAACTGAGTTTGTTGCACTTTAGATTTACCTTCTGTTTACCTGAGATGTTTGCCTGTCCTTTTCCTTAGGTACCAAAAACTGTGGAAGAGTTACGTGAAACTTCGCCACCTCCTAGCAAATAGTCCCAAAGTCAAACAAACCGATAAACAGAAGCTGGCACAGAGGGAGGTCTGTATCAAACTCCATTCCTAGGTGATTAATGATGATGTAGTTCAGGTGTATTTCACGATTGTTTTATCACACTGTACTTCTGATACAAGATGGAAAAATATGTTTAAAAAAAAAAATCATGCTTTAGCCTCCTCCCCACATTATTATACCAATTGATTTAAAGAAATCTTTTAGTATTTAAGAGAGCCTTTTTATCCCTGTATTAGTCTGTTTTGCATTCCTCTAAAGGAATACCTGAGACTCGGTAATTTATAAAGAAAAGAGGTTTATTTGGTGCACGTTTCTGCAGGCTGTACAAGAAGTGTGGCACCAGCATCTGCTTGGCTTCTGGGTTGTTCTCAGGATGCTTTTAGTCATGGTAGAAGGTGGATGGGGAGCAGGCACATCATATGACAGAAGAGGGAGCAAGAGAGGGAGGAGGGAGGTCCCAGACTCTCTTTAACAAGCAGATCTCACATAACTCATTACCATGGGGAAGGCACCAGGCTATTCATGAGGGATCCACCCATGACGCAAAAACCTCCCACCAGGTCCCATCTCTCACATTGGGTATCATATTTCAATGTGAAATTTGGAGGTGCCAAAACATCCTCTCTATATCAGCTCCTAAAATGCCAGTTTCTTAATGGATTATTACCATTGGGAATCAAACATATCTTTTATAGATATTAAAGCTTAAATTTGATGAATCAGCCTTTTATCTTTAATTTGGTTGCACATTATACAACATTGGGCCTTACTCAGATTTCTTGGTCTTAAAGTTGGAAAAGATTGTCTTCCATTGGTCTGCCAGTTTAGCATGGTAAACTTATTTTGTAAGGTTTCATATCCCAAATTCCATATTTCCTTACTAATGGGTAGTAGTATCCCTGTAATCCAGGATAACTTATGTTTTAGTTTTAATTACAAGAAAAAATGGTTTCAGTATCAACATAGATTTTTGTCTCAGAAGTTTTATTCTGCTGGGGTTGTGTAAGAGCAAAGCTTTGAAGCTGGAAAAAGTGTTTGAATTCTGGCTTTGTCACTTACTGTGATTTAAGCCAGTCAGCCTGTTTATAAAGAAGGGAACTAAGGTTGAGAGACTGACTGAAATGTTCCTCCGTTGGTGCACTCAACAAAATACGCCGTTTAACGGGCCTCTTGTGGTATTTGGCCTGTAAAAGAAACTTAATCAATAGTGGGGGTAGGGGGTGGTTCCTGTTATTATGAATTCCTATGAGATTTTGATTCAATTACATGCATACAAATATACAATTATTTTTACAATTATTCGAAGGACCGTGAAAGGGAAGACTTAGTTCCTGATCATGTCTCACAGGTGACATTTTGGATCGTAGTCTTTTTTTATATAAAATATGCCCTTACAGCAAGGGTTTTTATAAGGGGTTTGCAAGTTAGAAGGCAACTGTTAGAATTATGTGGGTTTCAGGTTAATTTGCTGATTGTGTGGCTGGGCGCGGTGGCTCATGCCTGTAATCCCAGCACTTTGGGAGGCCGAGGTGGGCAGATCACGAGGTCAGGAGATCGAGACCATCCTGGCAAACACGGTGAAACCCCGTCTCTACTAAAAATACAAAAAATTAGCTGGGCGTGGTGGCGGGTGCCTGTAGTCCCAGCTACTCGGGAGGCTGAGGCAGGAGAATGGCGTGAACCTGGGAGGTGGAGGTTGCAGTGAGCTGAGATCACGCCACTGCACTCCAGCCTGGGCGAGAGAGCCAGACTTTGTCTCAAAAGAAAAGAATTTACTGATTGTCTTTCTTAGATGTAAATACTTAACATGAGGCATGATAAAAATTTTACATGCTGATTTCAAATCCCAAACCACATTTTGCTTCCTTTATCAATGAAAGGGCATATTTTTTTCAAAAATACCAGAATGGTAGATTTGGTTTAGATTTTTTCTTATCTAGTTGCCAGGAAAGGCTGGGCTGCGTTATACCCCAAGCTCTGAGCATTCTAGCCTCCATTTTAAAGAAAATACTGTAATTTTGTATGAAGAGGTTTGAATATCTGAATGTAAGGGTAGTAGTAAATGAATCCAACTTATTTTCTAATGCTTGATGTTTGGCTTACTATTGCTTTATAGCAGTTGTGTTACTCATAATGAATTGTTTTCTAGGAAGCACTCCAAAAAATACGGCAGAAGAATACAATGAGACGAGAAGTAACAGTGGAGCTAAGTAGCCAAGGATTCTGGAAAACTGGCATCCGTTCTGATGTCTGTCAGGTGGGGACACTTCTGAGGACACAGTTATGCCCATACTTTTCTTCCTTTAACACAAATCTGGTACTGAGGGTTTCTTAATTGAGAATGTTCTGTAGAAAATACTACCTTGAGGCTAAATGGAATACCAACTATAAATTATTTTCTATTATTTGGATTTTGTTTTCATTGTCTGTTTTGACGCTGGTATGTGTGTGTATGTTGTGCTTGTAGGTATTGGGGTGGGGAGAAGCTTACTTAGTGGTGTTCAGTTCAGTCTCTTCTCTTTGGATGAAGGTAAGTCTGTCCTTCTCATGCATCTGCTCATGCATCTGCCTGTTTGCAGCACATGTATAGGTGCTTGTACAAAAGAGATAATCCAGCAGCCCTACAAGCAGACTCCTGAAGTGTATGTTTTCTAGACCGATGACTCAAATTTATGTTGCAATTTATATTGCAGAGAACTGAAGGCATTAATGAACAGAATCAGTGTATACTTCATATTTGAACCAAATGATAATATATTTTCTTTGGGTGAACTCAATAGAGTAACATTTCTGCTATATGTAACTGACTGACTAATAAGCATTTTTGTTTTTCCTATGGGTGGAATTTATATGTGATTAAAGATCCCCCAAACCAGCATATTCTGTTTTTTCACTTGATTCTTTTGTCACAATTGATATTGGATGAAGTCTATGAGAATTACAGTAAAGGAAATGAGTACACAGGCTATGGTCAGGTAATGCAGTTTGCTGTGTTCATCCTTTTGGAAGAATACTTCCAGGCTTCCATTTATTTGTTTCGATGGTAGCATGTGTTACAGTAAGTTCAAGCAGCTTACTCTTAGCTTCCTCTTAGTGTTCATTTCATCATAATGAATTTTTTAAAAAATCAGTTTGGCATTTAATTATTATATTGACTAGCAGAGTTTAAAAGTATTGCTACACAATTTACTAAGTGATATCCAAAGCTAACTATTTTTGCATTAAGATGAACTGCTATTGGTGTAATATTGCCAGATATTTTCAGGGTAATCATCTACAGTGGTAACCAGCTGTTTTCATTAGGTCCACAGTTATTTTACCAAGTGACAAATATCTTATGACTGTCAGTACTTTTAGATGAATATTTTACTTCCATTGATTCTCTCTCAGGGCCGTTTGAAGCTGTATCATCCGGTTTTTCTATTTGTCAGTGTTTCCCCAAAACCAACGTAATGTCATCCTAAGGTAGACATCATCAGAACAGTGAGCAGAATCCTAGACAGTTTGCACCACATTTGATGATCTCAGTGATAAATCAGAGTTGATTATCTAAGAGATTATAAAATTGTTGAGCATTAAGAACTAGAAGGTACCTTCCAGACCTTCTAGTTAGTAGTTTTGAACTTGTGTTTTTGGTTAACTTCAAAGTATTTTTTTTCATACAAAACCCTTTTAGAGCCATTATTTGTAAAAAGATAAAGAGTAACTGCCTGATTGACTAGTGGGAGATGGGAGTGGAGAGAGTATCCTGTTTTACTTGATTTCTCCCCCAGCTCCTATAGCAGTCCCTAAGGCCACTGAATACAGTATCTTTTTCTTTTTGTGAAGCTTTGAGCCTTTTTTTTTTCTTTTTGTAAAGCAAACAAGAGTGCTGAATTATCTGTTGCAGTACAGTTTTGTATTCTTCAGCTATATCACAAATGTCTTCCTCTACCCTCAGCTAGATGAGAAGCAGCTGGAGGAGTAAGTGATCTTGTCTCTTGCTGTGTGATATGCTATATTCTGTTTCGAGGTTGGTAGGTAAAAGGACTCAGTCAGTTTCCTTGCCTAACTGGTGGAAGAAAAGGGATCCTGATTAAACCCCTGCGAAGGTGAATGCTTTATGATCTAATAATCATTCCTCCCTCTGTAGAACTCTCACTCTTCCAGAGAGAACTGCCATCTGTTTAGAAGCCATGCTTCCATTCTCTGGTCCTCCGAATGGAAGTCTTTTTCAGATTTTGATAAAATTACCCTCATATGTAAATGACTTGATTAAAAAAATGTGAATTGTTGCCTTTAAGTTCATATACTGAATACAGAAGGAATTGCTTTATGGTTTGAAAAGAAATATGTCTGCATATAAATAAATGAAAATGAGCCAGCAGGCTACCTGAGAAGTCCATAGAAGTGGAAGAGAAAGAAATCTTACCAGTGGCAACATGGGGGCTGACAGTGAACTATTAAAACCAAAATACCTTGTGCTTTGGTGAAATAGTTCCTTACACACCAAAATCAAATTATCCTGAAGGCATTCTGTAGCTCTCAAGGTGAGATAAACAGTTGAAGTATCTGTTTATTTTGACATATTAAATATTATTTCACCATCAGTGAATATTCTTGGGGTTGTGAAAGTAAATTGTTACCTGCATTGGGCTTAAAACATCAACATATGGAAATTTGGAGGTGTTCATCAACTCATTCATGACACGGGAGCAACCTAGTTCAAACTTTAAATACCAAAAAAAAAACCAAAAAAACCCTACAGTAAGGTTTAGGGGAAGATACCAAAAGTAAACTAGTGTAGTTGACTTTTGGCTCAAAATAAGTATTTTTGCAATGAATATTTTCATTACATTTATTTACACCTTTCTTTGTTCTGTACTTGTTTTGAAGTGGTAACTCTTTATGAATATGGGAATTAATAAAGCAGTGACTCTACAAGCCATGGGCTCCATGGTGAAGCCTTCAGTGCTAGTAATTTGAAACTCCCTTGACTCTTCTCACTGACCTTTCTCTTAGTCGGTACTATTGCATATTAACAGTCAGAAATTCTTCCTTTCTATTGATACATCTTACAGAAAACCTTTGACAAGTAGAGAACCTCTGGGTACATTTTAATTAAGAGTTTTTGCCACAGATCATACGTTAGCTCTTCCTGGAATTTTTATGTTTTAAAATTCTCAGGTATTTTACATGCATAACACAAAGGTTCTGAACAGTTGCCCTTAAATTATTGATGTTTGCCATACATTTTGTTTGAATTTTTTTAACCTTGAAATTCCTTCAGTGAACAATGAAGGCAGCAAAGCCATTCCCCCTAGTTTTCTTGTAAAGAAATCGGACAAAATGTTTTATCATGTAGCATTAATGACCAAACATCTGAATATATTTTAGAAGCCATTTTAGTCATATTTTTAGGATAGAGTCTTTTTGCATCCTTAATAAATGTTTAGTCCAGTGCAGGTTTGTCTAGTCACAAGTCATATATGTTAACATTTTTTATTGTTTATTTGGCCTTTGTTCTTAATGTAAAGATTTTGATGATGTTTAATAAAACCTGTGATTTTTTGAGAAAGGGACCAAGAGTGTTTTTGTTGTTTTTTTACAAGTGGAATTGGCTGTGGCTTACAATGATATTTAATTTCTTATATTAGAATAAATGTTTTCTTTTGGTATGTTTTCCTCACATAAGCTGGTGGCATATCATAATGCAGTTTAACACCTCCAAAATAAAAGCATTTAGTATTTTTGGTAATAAAGAATAAAAATCTAATTGACTGGGAAATAGCAGTTAAGTGAATTTATACATCGAATACTTTGAATAATTTTATGATTATTCAAAGTCTTTGAACAGATAAGCTCATACTTAATTTTTAGAAGAAAGGATTTATCTAAAATTGTTGGTAGTTTTTCTCTGTATTCAGTAGTTCATTGATATAGAACCTACTGTTTTTTAGTAATAATTGCTAGTAGGTTGCTAGTAAAAGCCTTGAGATGCTATCTGGTGGCTGCAGGAGATGGAAACCATTGTGATAAATCTGAGATGGGGTGACCTCAGTACCAGCATCTCCCTCTGGAAGTACATTACCCCAACCAGAGAAGTTACCAAGGATTGTTAGGAGATTAGAAAATTCTATCTGGTGCCCCAGCCAGTGTTAAGAGGATTGAAAACCTAGGAGTAGGTGCTATAACTTGTAATTAAATATGAACCAAATATGGACCTGTCACTATGTTTGTAGATAAATCGTTGAATAATTTTTTCTGTGTTGCTGCTTGTTAGAGTGAATTCTGGGTAATGTGGAAGAAAAAGGAATCAAAACCTGAATCTGAGTCTAAAAAATTCAGCATAATGACTCAGAAGAGGAAGAAAAGCAACTTGCTGCAATAGGACCTGTATTTTTTAAGAAAAGGGTTTCACACACTGAGGTTAAATTGGTATCTTCTGTAGAGGGAGGCGCCTGGACCCTGTGGTATACTGAGAAGGTGGTCCATGGAAATCAGTAAACTAACTCGGAAGACATGAAAAAAGGAGCAAAGAATTTACACCATCATAGTCACATCCCCAGTAGGAGACTCATGCCAAATGTGGGGACACTGTAACTTCTTAAGGAAAAGAAAGGAAGCACAGGTGCCTGGAGAACTGTTGGCCTTTGAGGAAAGCTGAGTCGTGGTGGTTGGTATTTGTATTGAGTGGACAGAGAGCTGTATTTGGACTAATTAATGAATGTGCTGTTTTCCTAGAGTGGCCATCTGGAATGGGATGGAAGGCTGCCATACATTATCAAACTATCTGATTCTCTTGCTCAATGATTTGTCAAGGAATGACTCAACAGTGAAAAGTAACATCTCTAGGGATTCACAGACTTTGGACAGCAAGTTGAAGGATGTATTTTCTAAATTAGATCTTGTAGCGAGGGAAGGAGGAATGTCTGAGGGCAATGGCTTCATAGTTATTGTTAACAAAGGAATTTTGATTTTTAGTCTGTATGAGATACTTGATTTTTTAATTTAGTCTGTATGAGATACTTGATTTTTTAATTGGAGCATAGTGCTGCTTGTGAAGAAAGGAAAGATTTGTTTAAGACTAACTGACCTGATAGAGAATTTTTTTTTAAGAGATGGGAGTCTTGCTGTGTTGCCCCGGCTGGAATGCAGTGGCTATTCACAGGTGCAATAGTAGTGCACTCTGGCCTTGTTGCCTTGGACTCCTGGGCTCAAGCAGTCCTCCTGCTTCAGCCTCCTATAGCTGGAACTACAGGTGCATGTCACCTCGTC